AAAGTGCAAACAAGTGTAGACACTGTGGTTAGGTGTTGTCAGGCATGGCTTCGAGAAGGCCGTACGCAAAGAGCAAGGGGCACTGGACGCCGCCGTAGAACAACAGACCGTGAAGATCGCCGCCTAAGATTATTGGCCTTAAGGGACCGTTTCTCGACTACCAGGTCCATTGCAAGTGAATGGTTTGCAGAACACGGAAGACCTATTGGCATGCGAAGTGTTTACCGACGAATGAGAAGTTTTGGCTTGTTTTCATACCGGCCACACCGGGTCCTCCCTTTAACTCGAGAACACCGACGTAATCGCCTTGAGTGGTGCAGACAACGGTCACTCTGGGATCAGGAATGGAACAGTATTGTCTTTAGTGACGAGTCTCGATTTTGTTTAGGCATGCACGATGGTCGTGCCAGGGTTAGAAGGTGACGTGGTGAAAGGAGGAATCCACAGTTTTTTGTTGAAAGACATGTTCATCACACTGTTGGAGTTATGGTTTGGGGTGCTATAGCTTATGGTTCCAGGTCACCTTTAATCTTCATCAGAGGTAACATGAACGCGCAGCGTTATATCCACGAAGTTCTAGAACCCCATCTTTTACCCTATCTTGACACCCTGGCAGATCCAACTTTCCAACAAGATAATGCCCGATCACATGTTGCAAGAGTCACAATAGACTTCTTTCAACATAATGATGCCACATTGTTATCATGGTCACCAAGATCTCCCGACTTATCCCCAATTGAGCACGTGTGGGATATGATGGGTAGGAGATTGCTCAATTTGCAACGTCCTCCTCAGACTCTAGAAGCACTTCGAGAGGAGTTGGTGGTTGCCTGGAATGAGATACCACAGGAGGACATTGACCACCTGATCAGAAGCATGCCTAGGCACGTTGGAGAACGCGTAGCACATCAGGGTGCATCTACACATTATTAAAGGTCAAAGGGCTTTAAAGCAGTGCAATCATTTTGAAATTTTTATTATTTACTTTATGCTTCATTAAGTACTTATACAAAATTTTATTAAAATAAAACCATTTAAGCCGGGTGTTCGGATTTATATGTCACTTAGTATATTAGCAATTTGATGTCAAGTCAAGTTGTTTTTACCTCTGCCTGTCACGTACTTGAAATAGTTTCGATATGACCTGATAATTTTTGTAATATTCAAGTCATCGTTGGTTGTCAGAGCGGTCCGTGGGACCTTAGCTCTTGAGTCACAGTGTCAGTTTGTAAATCTGTCAGGTCTGGTAACCCAGAATCCAGACAATTTTAAGGAAGAAAGGGAAGGAAACGAGAGAAGGAAGAACGAGAGCTAAGGGGAAGAAGAGAATCTTTTAGGATAGGCATCGTATAGGCATTGTTAAAATCACTTCACAGATTTTGATAAGGTCTAAAAATAGGTATTCGATTTTTTCTGAAGATTTGGTCAAAATGCTCCAATTTTGGTCGTTCTAAGTTCACGTATTAATTTTAATTTCAGTGTGAGCCGCGGCCTTTTGTGCTTGCGAACTTGCTCGACTGTGTAGTCCACTGACTCACGCAACAGAGGGTTGCTGTGCGATTCCGCTAGGCTATAGCGCCGCTGCACCTGTTGCTAAATGTAGTCCTTTTGGTAAGGGACATCGAGGTCTCTATGTAGAGTTTCGTTAGAGACATACCATGAGGCGTCAGCAATAGTGCGCAACGTTCTGCTGTGCAGAACCGGCAGATTGTGCATGTGTGTTTTAGCAATAAAACACCAAGCTGCACATGCGTAAGTTTAAAAAAAAGTCTAGAATAATATATAGATATATATACCCATACATAACGCATAAACAAACGCCAATATGAGCGACAATTAAGTTTGAAAAAAAGAGCAAAGAGTAAACGTGGTGGTAAATTAAAAAGTCTAGAATGATACATATATATATAAAAAAATATAAATAAAATAATGGAATGCAAACAAAATAAAATTGAAGTTCCGCAGTAAGAATAATTCTACTTTATACATTCAAGGCAAGAATCACGCAAAACCGCTTTGAACTTGTGAATTTCATATGATTTGATTTAGCGACCGATCCGCCCAATCTAAAACTTCCTTCACCGCACTTTGCAGCCTGTCATGGACTAGGTTACCAGGCTACGACTGAACCACCAATGCAGTATCGTCAGCATAGAGATAGAGTTCACAGTTGCTGGGACTATGGCCGTCATGGATGTACAGTGAGTAAAGGATAGGTCTAAGGACCGAACCTTGAGGGACGCCGGCTGTAATCAGCCGTGTTGTCGACAGGACATTGTCAATTTTGAACCAAAATTTCCTACCTTCAAGAAATCAGTAGTTTTAGAATCCAAAAAGGGAACCCCTTTTGGATTAGTTTATACAGGAGGCCGCGTGCCACACCTTGTCAAATGCTTTTGAAACATCCAAAAGCAATATGCCAGTACTTTCGTTAAGGGTGAATCCTTTGGTTACTCGTTCCACCAGTCTAACCGCCTGTAGCTTCGTACTATGTTCAGACCAAAAACCGAATTGCACGTCAGGAATCACATGGTGATCTGACGAGAAATTCTCAAGGCGACGTAGAATCACCTTTTCAGCGAGCTTAGACGGAGCTGACAGCAGACTAATGGGACGATAATTCTGGGGAAATATCGAACCCACCTTCTTTGGAATATAAATATAATATAATATAAATACGAGCAGATTATAAATACACAACGGAAGAACTTTATTTGTCACAAGTTTCTGAGAAAACAATGCATATGCAACAAAATAATTTGTTCATCGAAGAACAGATAATAGAACGATAAAACTATAAACTCAAAAAAAAAACATTTCTTCTCTACGAGTTAAGACATGAGGGTCCCAGCGGACTTAAATGGTGGTAGAATTAACTAACCGGAATTTGAACAACATACATATATCATGATACTTATTTTTAAAGTTGTTAAAAACGTAAAATTAGTGGTCGAGCTTAATTTTGATTGGTTCTTATATTTATAGAAAATTATTATTATTTATTATTATACATAATAGAGGAGCTGAGAAAAAGCTATAAACTCCAGACAGAAATTACACATCGAAAAAGAAATAAAGATCATGTCATAAGCAAACGAGAAACCATGCCTAGCTCGGTATTTGATTATCAAGTCATCTCGTGAGAGTCTATCGGAGAAGTGAGTTGTATTCCCGCAGAAGTCCTTCAATATACTGAATTTCAAATGCACTTTCTACCGATTTAGTGTTTTTTGGTTTGGCAACGCTGTTTGTATGTATCATTTGAGAGTAACAATTTTCGATATTTTAGATACAAAATACGGCTCATCGGTTGTACAAACTTTTTTTTTCATACTCCAACTACCACGAAGGCCTAAGGCCTAAACACCCATTGGGTACCGTGGGGCTATAGGGGGATACATGGGAAAGGGGGAGGACCACAAATAGAATTTGCCTTCAAGTATCAAGTAGTCTGAAAATCATTGACCGTATAAAAATAAATAAGTCATGCATTAATGTTTTAAGTAATTTTATTTTTATGAAGATACCAAGCTACTTGACTTAATGAATCCCTAGTCTGACAGGCTCAACGCGCGACGGTATCATGAAGGAGCAAAGCCCACTGGCATAGTGCGAAAGGGATCCGAGACTGTCCGTTATAGAAGGCCATCGATGAGTCGGATAGCCATCCTCCGCCGTAGGGGGTCCCTAATATACGTACACATTCCAGTTATTGGGGAACCTTCGAAATGAAATGTGGTGGTATGATAGGTTTACGAATGATGCTAAGTTGAATAACCTAACATAAAATGAAAGTAGTCTTTTATAGAGCCTTGAGAGATTCGCTCAAATCTGCAGGTTTGGCATCGCCGATGACATCGCTGTCATATTATCCAACGGGACAAACTATGGACATCATGGAAACAGCTAGAGTCAATAGATCGAACAAAATCGACACTAAACATCATTACAGATAAATCACATGCCGAGCATATCTGCCCATCCATCCATGGCATATTTTAATATTCATCCAGTCGCGTATTTGCGGCAATATTGGAAGAGTGTTTTTAGCAGATAGCAGGCGACGGACACATATACAGGGTAGTGTGTAATGTATGCACCAAAAATCAGTGCTAAAGGGTTATTAAAGAAAACAGGCTAGAACTGGGACTAGAAGATGTGTCAGCGGTAAAAAATTATAGCTATTTGGAATTATGTGACTATGCGCTTTTAGCAGGGTTGAAAGGGCCTATTTCTAGCAATTTGGTATCGTCCTAAAGTAGTCACGGAAATGCCTGCCTTTTTATGGCCTTAAGCGGTAGGGGTATCACGTATCTTCAAAAGTGACAATATGTCGGTTTTTTTACATTATACAGGTTTCTGTAACATTATGTATGCTTTTCTACAAGATGTCAAAGTACTATCTGTTGTACACTTGACTCGTCAACAAAAAACATTCGTGCAGGTGCAACTCATGCTTCTTGTTAAATTATTACTTAGCAACGTGTTTTTTCGATTTTTTCGGAATAATTAGATGCCCTTGTTATTACTTATGATAATGTCATTATGCAAAGCCATAGGAAAATATATAGAATGTAATAGATTATTGGACACTCCAGTTGAAGCTCAAGAATTATCCGGAGGTTCCATGAATGACACAAGTTCATTCACAAGCTCATCCATGACATTATTGACTCCAGTGTCATCTTAGAACAACTTAACTTCTTAATTCCTAGATTAGCGTCACGAACTAGTTTAACTTTTTACTTAGCCAGGCCTAGGACTGACATACTTAAGTTTTCCCCTATCTATATAATGTGCCGTAATTATAATTCAGTTAATAGCGTTTTAGATATATTTTCGTTCTGTCCGACTTTGGGAGACATTAATGCTTATTTTCGTTAATGCTTGCCGGTGAGATTGTTGAGTGCTAGGTAGGTAAAGCTACAACGCTTTTTTTTCCTTGCAGTTCTGTTTTGAGGTTTTTTTTGCAGCGTTTTAGCTTTCTCTACATACATCCACTACATGCATTTGTTTATATTTTCATGTTTATCCATCCTGTAATTGGCTATGGCTGTTGGATGTTGCTAAATAAATAAATAAGTAAATAAATAAATAAATAAATAAATATCAAATAGTAAGCATTTCAATTACTGTAAGCGGCCTTTTTCTGTAACAGATGCTACAATTTGGACGTCAGTCCCACAAGTCTATTATTCTGGAGAAACTTTTGGGCTGTATGGAACTAACGCCCTGTAAATCTAAAGATATTCCTCATTTTCGTGCCTGCATCACAGAAGCAGTCACAGATTGAGAGTCAACAATTTCTTATATCTCCAACGAGCCAAATTTAACTCAAGATAATGAATTATCACCATGAGTGATAACTAGAATTGCATTATCTACGCTCCACCCTGTTTACACAGCAACACCCACATGATAGACTACCGTCATCCAACAATCACTATCGCCAACACGTGGAAATTTAGTATTGAACTTTATAGACGCGGCGCTTTGAGCGTCACCGCAAATATTAATGATGTGTGTCATTCGAATTGTAAATACAGAAATATGAAATAACGATTTGATCGTATTTGTATTTATCGAGTGAAGCAGGGAATGATTCAATAGGGTAATACAGTATTTCTAGGAATATGCATTTGACGAGGTCTGCGAATTAAGTGATGAGACTGGCAGCGCAGATCTAATAACACTGGAGTCGCCGAGCTTGGAGGGCGACAGGGGAACATGTGATCCGAATTCAGTACAAATTTGAACTTGCTCAAGTCCGAATGACATCAATTTTGAGCAACGGCGTGCTATCAGGTTTTGCGTCAGTCTAAGGTACAGTGATAAACTTCAGCAGGCCTATGGAGATAGTGTTTTGTCAAGAGCCCAGGTTTTTCGGTAGTTTAAGGCATTCCCAGAAAGGATAGAGTCGAATGAAGATGAACCAAGAAGCGAAAGGCTTTCATCTTTAAGAATCGATGAAAATATCGACAGAATGCGGGATCCTGTGCATTCAGATCGTCGGTTGACAGAATAATCGGGGACCGAGGAAGAGTTCAATTTCACACCACCGTTCATCAGATAAAGAACAACTGGGGAACGATAATCATCCTTATCACAAAGCAATGTCAATAAACGAGATTTTCGCCAGTAAAAATATTGTCGTGGCTCCTCAGCCTCCTTATTCACCTGACTTGAGTCCTTGTGTCTTTTTTCTCTTCCCAAAGTTGGAAAATCACCTCAAAGGAACTCATTTTGGGACACTCGAAAACATTCAAACGGCTGTAACCGACCAGCTGAAGGCAATTCCAGTATCGGAGTTCCAGCACTACTATGAGGAGTGGAAGAACCGTGTCTAGCGCTGTGGGGCTTCAGAAGGAAGTTATTTTGAGGGTGACAATATATAATTGTAATATTTGCATAAACAATTTGTTTTAAATTAGTGTCATCACTTCATTTACAGATATCGTGTGCTACTGCTGGTTTAGAGCAATTTTCAGAAAATCACTTGAATGCTAATTGTTGGAATATATCAACGCAGTTCCCAATCAATAATAGAGATTTTTTAGAGCAACAACGCCATTTCTTTCGTTATTTTTTGCAGCGATCACAAATCACGATGTCGGAAAAAGAAGGGTTTTTATGATTACTGAAGACTACTGACATTCGTGACAGATTGCTTATTTATCCATGAAGCTAAGCCCGAAACGTAGAAACTCGGTAATCCTCTTTATAGAAAAGTTTCAGTACCATTTGTGTTATGATTACTTCAAACTGGTCCAGAAACGAATAGGCTTAGGATCATAGTCACAAAAATCAAGACAACCAAATCCTTCCAGAACAACGCATATTTCTTGCACTTGTCTCATCGGTGATCTCGATCTCTATTGTATTATAAAAATAAAATTTTATAAATTGAAGCTACTTTTAAAAAACTTTTCCAGCTTCACGAATTCGGGCAACATTCCTGGATAAGGAAAAAAAATCTTACAAAATAATCTATCCCTTACTTTCCGTAAATATGTAACCATGGATTCGCCGCTGCTCAAAATCATAATTACACTACATACACAATTTTCATTAGATTCTGTTTATTACTAATAACAGCATTTCTCAATTCAAGGGGTACAACAGAAGCCCTGCTGAGAGACGAATAAAACTTATATTTTATCATATATTTCGCGTTTTGATCTTTTACATCGAATTGCGTCAGGTGGTGCACGTATGCCATTACGTTGAATAAGACAAAATAGAACAAACTATAGACGCGCGTTGTTTTAACGCGCGTTTTGCTTCGAAAAGTATCGGGTGCTCCCAGTGTCAAGTTTAGTGTCGATTTTGGGCAGTATATTCCCGCGTGTTTGTTAGGCCGAATCATAACACATATGTCATTGAAATTTGTCTTTATTGTACGACGTTTCGGTCCCAACGGTGACTGTTGACAGTGAAAATTGTAGGTCAAAAAGGTCACCGTTCTCGTAACCGAATATATGGCAGATTTCTATAAAAGCCAAATAAAAGTGTTTTTATTGCTCTTTTACATAGAATCGATGTTTTCCGAGATTGTTTATCAAGCGCGTATATCAAAATGGCGGCAGATGCTCCGGACTATTTGAAGCGATAATCTAAGAACAACAAATTTCCGTCGCAAAAATTGTAGGAAAAAATTACGTATTTCCTGATTTAAAATAATGAAACGCGCATGGTAAAAAAATATTTCTGAATTTTTAGTTCCTTACAGCTTGTTTTTACAAATGTATTTTTATTTTATTTTTTATTATTCTTGTTATTTGATGTTCTAAAATGATTGCGATCGCAAAAATGTCCTAGCTTTTTCCTGAATAGTGAATGTACTACAAAGTATTGAAAAATCTACAATGTTTAGGGCTATTCCACCCCTGTTCGTCCGAATAAAACATGCATAGTCAACTCCCCGGTGCCATGCGGGGTGGGCGCTAGCACCGAATAAACTCCATTAGGTGCTAACATGTCGATATAGTATTTATAGTGGCCGTAATTGCAATGACGCCACATGTGTGCACGCTGGACGCTACTGATTTACTGCCCGAACCACTTTTTTCACTCCCTGCTCTCACTGCAGTTTCCCTTTAATTTACACACCACGGAATCTTGTGATCGAACGGTGGTTGACTGGTTGGTTTGGGTATTTATTTGGGTGGTATCGGCTTCTAGTTAGTATGATAACAATATTCATTATACAACGGTCATTATGAGCCTCTAAACTCCTGAAACTTTTGAAATCCTTCCTCGAGGATAGGAAATTTCGAATCAAAATTAATAACGTTCTGTCGACAACACGGCCCATCAAGGCCGGTGTCCCTCAGGGTTCGGTTCTTGGACCAGTCCTTTATTCACTTTTTATTTATGACGTCCCTTGCCCCAGCAACTGTGAAATCTATCTCTCTGCTGATGACACTCCCCTGGTGGCTCAGTCGTGTTCTGGGGATCTAGTTCACAGGTTGCAAAATGCAGTCGACGAGGTATTGGAATGGGCGAATCAGCGGCTGATCAAAATTAATCATTCGAAAACGCAGGTAATCTATTGTACTAAAAAACGTAGCGGCGCCCCGTCTGAGGTTTTAGTGAATGAAGCTCGGGTACCATGGGAAAGCTCTGCTAAGTATCTTGGTGTCACTCTTGACAAGGGGATGACCTGGCAATAGCACACTGAAGCGTCAAAAACTAAATTCCAAATCTCGTTTCGGCAATGCTACCCTATGCTATGTAGAACATCAACAGAACAGAACCTTACGTACAATCACTAACGCCCCATGATATGTCTCCAACGAGACTCTTTACAGATACCTTGACATCCCCTACCTAAGGGACTACATCAAACAACAAGCGCAGCTACGTTATAGTCAAGCGGAATCGCATAGCAACCCATTGTTGCGCGAGTCAGTAGACTACACATTCGAGTAAGTTAGCAAGCACATGCGGGCGCGACTTGCACTGTGAACAAAATTAAATCGTGCGACTTTAGGTCCAAACAAAATTATAATTTTTCTTCAACAACTAATTCCTAAATTAATATCAGGATCAATTTAAAATTGCCGAATGATAATTAGCAATGCCAAGGCACTCCTCAAATTTACGATCTTCGTTTTTCTTTGCTTTCCGTCCTTCCTTCCTTTCTTCTTTCTTCATTTCACCCCGACTTTATTCGGTATCTTGGCAACCAGACCTGACAGACCTACTGACTTACAAGACTTTAACCAAGAGCAAAGGTCCTACGGACCGCTCTGACAGACAATGATGAATAGAAAGCCTCTAAACAGGCAATATTTTTACTGCACTATTGAGCTACAATAAGCCCTTAGCAACTTTTCTTTGTTGGCCATTTATGAGTTATAAGCAACATAGCAACATTTTACTACTGTACTGCAAGCATCAAAATCTGCGTCTATTGCACACATTTGACCAGTGAGAATGCGTTTTTGATGTAATGGATCTAATTAATATATGCACGATTCTGCGTAAAATGTCTCTTATGCTAGAGAAAAACTATACAATTTGTGTAGGATGGGCCCCTAATCATCATAGAAAATGAATAAATTCTTCATATATCACCTGGCTTAACTCAAAAACCTGTTTTTCCATTACCTGAAAAAGAGATAATTTCGACATCTCCATTGAGGTTAGCTATCTTTTTCTTTATAGATTTGTAACAGGTCAGTCAATCTAGAACACTGATTCTCGTACTTGCGGTACAAAGTTTTGCTTAATAAGTCCTTTGAATATATGGGGTTGTCCAAAACGGACGCAGGAAAGTAAACGCATATTAAAACAAGAAAGATTGATATTCAAAGTTGGGTACTTTATTTTGAAGGTTCATTTATACCATTTATGTATGAAAAATAATATCGCTCAAATGTTCACCACGACTGGATTTACAGACGTCCACGCGATGGTCGAAATTTTCAATGACATTTTGCAACATGGTCGGTTCTATGGCATTTATCTCGGCAATGATGTTCTTTTTGAGTTCTTGGAGGGTAGCTGGTTTGTTGACGTAGACTTTGCTTTTCAAATATCCCCATAAATCGCACGATCTTGG